CCCCCCATCTCCCGGTGTGGATGTGCGCTACGGCTGTGCGCTTTTAACCGGACTGCAGATGCCCCGTTTGTTTTCACAATGCTTCCCTTTTATTTTGGGGGGCTTTCTGATATCTTCTGGCAAAACATGGATCTTTAAGCGGGCGTGCTGCAGAGGCAGCGCCAAAGGAAAAGTCAAAAAGTCTTTTTAAAGTACTCACCTGACCGTTCTTGCAGAGGTCTGCCCACATGCTTGTGCCATCCCCTCCTCTCATCAGCACATGGTAGATGAAGAAGTATGTACCCGGTATGCTGCAGATGAACTTGCCCGAAATGCCATCGTAGTTGTTGCCAAGGTTGGTGACCACGTCGTCAAACTTTAGGATCTCATAACCTTCATGGGGGTTTTTAAGCCCGGCATAGAAGGCCACCCGGGGCACTGTGCTGTAGGTGGCTGTGCTGATAGCTCCATTACCCCCCAGACCCAAAATCCCAGTCCTTCCATGATCCCCTCTGTCACCTGGGGGCCCAGCTGGTCCTGGTGGCCCCGGTTCACCAGGCGGTCCGGGCGGTCCAGGTGGTCCTGGTGGTCCGGGCTTTCCTGGCCTGCCAGGCTTTCCCTGAGGGCCCTGCTGCAGGGTGGACGGTGGAAGAACATTGCTGTGGTCAGTCAGTGCCTCCGCCTCACCCTGCAGACCGGTGGAGCTGGTGCTGCTGGCCGGAGTGCCCTTGTTTAAGTAAGGGTCGCATACCATACGACAGGTGCCCAGCATCTCGTAGTGGCTGGCATCTGTACTCACGGAGCTGACAAGCACAGGGATGAGTACCACCAGCACCAAGACCAGCATAACCCCCACAGCAGCCGCCACCAGGGTCTTCCTCCCGATGCTGAGTCGGGGAAGGGGCTGCGCAGCCAGCGTGGGTCTCCCGGGGGCGGAAATGGTGACTGTTTAGTGTGGGGAGCCTGTCACCGAGGAAAGGGACCCGGAGATCCCAGGAAGAGTTGCAGGAAGAGCGGCGAGTGTGTGAGAGTGAGACAGAGACCCACATACACTTAATACAGCTCACTGCTCCACTCAGTCACACACAAGTAGGCAAGCAGTCACTCAAACATAGAAAAAGACTTAAGGAAACCCAAGCATACACAGGGAGACATTCAGCGCGTACTTACAAACACAATGTGACTTGTGAGAAGAAGCAAGAAGTATGCAGAGCCCAGAGGAATGGAGTGAGAGACAGAGGGAGCGAGACAGAGGGAGGGAGAGGGAGAGAATAATGAGAGTGGGTGAGCATGAGAGATACAGAGCAGCCACTGTGAGTGTGCGTGTGTATGTGTGTGTGGTGAGTTTGTGGTGCCGTGTTCTCAGGCTTGGCTTTTTATACGGGAAGCAGCTCCGGAGACCCCACACCCACCCTCTTGGTCCCCCATCGCGTGAAAGGTTGGTGCGGCTACGTCCCCTTTTTCTCTCCTGCTCTCTCGGACGAAGGACTCTCCAACATGCAGCCTCCTGAAGCACAGAGGAACCAACACAACGCCCCGGCCACCTTGCGCTCCCTCTTCACTTTTCTTTCTCCCTCCTTCCCCCACTTGTGATGTTATTTCTCACCCTCTTGCGTTGTCTTCTCTCTCATCAACATCCAGCCTCTAAAAATAAAGATGGAGCTGTGGAAAGACGATCCTTTCTCTCTCTCTCTTTTTTTTCTTTTACTGGAGGTGGGCTCTAAAGATTTATGCATATATGTGCGGAGACACAACACTTAAATGTTCTGTGCCAGAAAACGCTAGCATCTTCTCAGAGGAATAATAGTGCTAATTGCAAAGCTAAATGCCAAGAACAAACTTATAACCCGGCAAACTCTTTGGTTAGACTGATAAATCTTGAATCACATTAAAAAGCAGAAAAGAAAAAAAAAATCCTGTGCACCCCTCCTGATTTTTTTTTCCTCCCTGTCGATAAGCATGTTTCTCCAACTGAATCTACCAAAATGATTTCTTATTGGTGTCTTTTTTAGAGCATTGATTTCATGTTTTTTTTTTTTTTTTATCAAATCAAGGGCCCTGTTTTGAAGGGGGGAGGAATCGATACAGAGCAATGATGTAATTTGTTTGACATTTTCATCCCTTGGTGTGATGAATGGTAAAGTAAGAGAGCAAATGACAAAGTGTGATGGCAAACATTCATTATGAAGGGTCTGTTAAGTTTATAAGGGCGTAGGTCTTCTGTGGTTGTGGTCTAATACATTTGGAGAAGCAATATGGATGAATATGAGATGGACGGACGTAATATGTTATATGTATTGATGGTTGGGGGGAAAAAGAAATGATCACGATAGGAATGCAGAGCAATTTCATACAGTATGCATTCAAATGTTTGTTTTTATTCAGGTGCAGCTACAGTAGAATGTAATAGCAGCCTACTTCCCCCTAACAGAGTTCATCTTTGCTTTATTTGCACTTACATATTTCAGATGATCAAATACATTTTCATATCAGGAAAAGATAAAGTAGATACAAAGCCCAGTTTTCAAATTATGCAAGCTAATCACGGCCCTGTTGGAAAATGTAAGCACAGAGCTTGTTAAGGCATGAATTAGCTGTGATTAACCTCATTCTGCAGTGAGAGCCATTATTTGAGACTTAGCCATGACGTCACAAAAGAAACCAAAAACAACCTCGAAATAACTGCCGGCCCTGCTTGTTTCAGTAAATATCAGTTTCAATGGTTCAGTAATAACAAACAAAATTTGAAAAAATGGTCTTTGTGGGAGCTAACAAAAGTGGATCCTTTCTTTTGTTCTTTAGTGTTAAGCTACAGCTCACAATAAGAGAATGATCCAAAGTTCCCCAACAAATTCACCTCTTCAAGTCTAAAAAATAACAAAGTGAAAGTTTTGGATTTGTCCAAGTCAAAGTCTGCATTTAGATCCGACTCAGAATTTGTGAAGCTGATAAATCTAAAACAAAATCTTCCAATGTGGAAGTATTAAAACAATTATGCAAAGAAGAGTATGCTAAAATCACTCCACAGTGATTTAAAAGACTCTTTTCAGCCGTTACCATCAAGGGCAGAGTAATCATTTTCTCCCATAGAGCCAGCGTGGTTTGAAAAGCTTTTTCCCTTCATAAATGGACTCTTCATATGAAAACTGAATTTTGTGTTTGCTAAGGTTACCTATTACATAGGTAACCCAATATAAAAGAAATAGGTTGTTGTATAACATATAAGTGCAGCGAAAAAGCAAAAACAGAAGAAATCCATAAGGGGCCTATACCTTTTTACTGCACTTTTTATTAAATTTCAAATGATAACTATATTTCTTTTAAAACTCAAGAAAAACGTGGGTACATATATCCTTATATATAAATAAAAAAAACTTCCACTAATTCACTAAAACTTTCCTCACTTGTGAAGTCAGCTTGCACGGTCATTGGTCTGTGAAAATCTGCCAGCTCTTGGTTTTCTCAGATAGTTGCCTATTTCTGGCTTGGGACAGTTTGTCCCTGAGCTGGACAGAGATCTTGTGATGGATTGAAATGGATCAATGAGCAGGATGGCTGATTTTTTTTTTCTTTTTTTTTTATTATTATTTTTGTCACCACTACACATGACATATTGCCAGTTATTTTGCAGCATTTGTGAATCTTCATCATCATTAGACGTCAGCTGCACATTCAAAGAATCATCGGGTGGCTGTCTAATTTATCATCTTGCAGAGTTTGATTCTCAAATAACTGGCACACAGGTGTGACTGGGATGCATATTTGCCTGATTTGTTTTTACTCCTCATAACAGTCATCGAGTTTGTCTATATGAGGAAGCACACAGACCTAAATTGGTTTTCGGAGGGTTTGTTTAAGGGGGGGATTTATTTGTTCTTCACACCTGCCAGCAGTAACTGCTGGTCATATCGCTGAGATCCAAATATCTATGTACCACAGAGATCAAAGCACGTTGGAGAGGACAAACAACGAGTGATTGTGATGAAACTGAAGCAAGGAATGGATACGAAAGCAATTGGAAAAAGAGAAAAATGTACAAATGTGATGTTAAATGTTGCAACAGCTGATCTTTAGATCAGGTAATGTGGTTTGTTTTGCATGAGAACACAAGCAGAGAAAAAGAGATTGTGAAAACCTAAGGAAGATATCTGTAATATCTGACATTTTCTTGTCGTAATATTCAAATCCAGAAGTTACACTTGGTTTATGTTTATTCAGTAAATACATTTAGGTTTTGACTGCAAACAGGACCGTTGAGTCACAACAGGACAGCACATTTAAAGTATTTACAATATAACTCCATATTCAATATTCAGTTAATACTACATAGCAGCAATTAAGAAAAACTTTTCATGTATAAATGTTAAGTTTTAGCCATATCAGACCTGCAGAGTCAGAGAGAAGACTTTAGGCAGATGTCCAGAAAACAGTCACTGACACTCTCCACAAAAGGTTTGTTACTGAAGAAGCTGATTGTTCAGAGTGCTGTATGCAAGCAGAAAGTTTAATGGAAGGAAAACGTGCTGTTGGCAAATGTGCACCAGCAACAGAGCTAATCACAGTTATGAGAGGAGCTTAAACTGGAGCAGCCTTTTGGTTTAATCGGTGCATTAAGAGCCTCTGCACACGAATAACACCTTTTCTTCCATTGTCGTCCTTTATTTAGCTCCGTCCTTCTCCACATCAACTCTGACCTGTTTCCCTTTTGTCACTGCCACTCCCATGTGTCATCACATCACTTTTCTATAAATGCCAGCTTTGTAGGGTGCACATCTGATTAATGTTGTTCTTTGCTAGTGAAATCCCACATCTGTTTAAAATCTGCCTAAGATGAGCTGTTTCTGCCAACAACATTATGTTCTCTTTCTATAGATATACAGAGCCAGAGACTCTGGCTGCAACACCGTCTCTCTCCTGAAATAGCCATCGAAGGAGATGCTGCTGGTAGTCTACTCTGTTTTCCATTCCATGAAATGTACGACTACTGCAGAGTTCATCTATTGTTACGTTTTTTTTCACCCAATGAAGTCACAAAAAACAGCTGCTGTTGCTAATAACTCTGTGTACTTTTTCTTCATGATAGAGAGCAACCCCTGAGGGTTACTCTGTGTTCTTTGTTTCTTTTTCCTCCATATGTTCTGTCCTCTCAAACCCTGGTAGACAGCAGCAGATGGATGCAGAATGTGAGGCAGGTTCTTCTGGAGAACTCTTCCTGTTAAAAGTTTGTTTCTTTCCACTGTCGCCACATACATGGTGAGTGTCAGGGGTTGCTGCAAAGTTGGACTTGATCCAGTCAACAATCCACTATTCCAGGGGTGGCCAAGTCCAGTCCTCGAGAGCTATCATCCTGCAACTTTCAGATGCATCCCTGCTTCAACACACCTGAATCAAATGACTGGTTCGTTATCAGGCCTCTGTAGAGCTGATCCCGGTCTGTTGGAGTAAGGATACTTCTAAAACTTGCAGGATGGTGGCTCTCGAGGACTGGACTTGGTCACCCCTGCACTATTCGCACAACATTGTAACATGTCAAAGTGGTAGGAATATTTTTGTATATCTTCACAAAGAAGTGCACAAATACTGGCACATTTCCAGGATCAAGGCGGCATCAGCATTGTAAACCCTTAGGTGCATCCGAAAGATACCACTGGGTAAGTAAATGGCAGGATTTGAGAACCTGGGGACAAGATGAGTTTTTTTTTTATTTTTTTTATGGCACTTAGCATGGTTTTAGTGATCTATTTAAAATCGGACACACCTGTGAGAGGGTCGTTCAGTGTAAACGCTTCGTTGGCCGATTGTCCTATTAAAATGACGAAAAACTGGATATAAAGATATGTTTAAAATCACACATTTCTCTTTTTAGTTTTATGTATACAAATGCAAATCACATCAATACTCAAACAGTATATGCAATCAAATGAATTCAAAAGTAATTCTGTTCAATTCGGTTCATTCCAAAAGAGTTCAATCCAGTTGTCAAATTCAGATTTCTGCATCATGTATTCAAATTCCTGCAAGTTATGCAATGACTATTAGTAATAAGCTTTCTAATACAAGCAGCAGATTGCACTGAATATTAATTTTGATGCACTCTCTCATCCCAAGCAACCACAAGGTGAAGGTTTAGGTCAGGTGAATTTGCTGGCCAAACACAGTGATACTTATTATAGAAGTTTTAGTGTGAGTGTTGGAACACGGCGGCCCATCAACAGCAGAAGACGCAGCTCCACAAGTCGTCACAAAGTTTGGAAATTTCACCTTAGACCTCAAGCAATTTGGATTAAATGCCTCTCCATTCTTCCTCTGGGCTATGGGACCTTGATTCCTAAATGAAATACAGAATTTACTTCTGCACCCTTTTACTTTCTACTCCACTTTTTCCCTCCACTTAACTTTCTACAATTTTTCCAGAGCACTATGTGAAAAAAAAAAACAAAAAACAAAAAAACAATGATCTGTGTGTCTTAATCTCCTCATGGAGAGTATAGTGACTGTCTACAATTCTCAAATCAAAAGTCAGTCTGGGTCATATATGTCATCATATCCAAATACTTCTGTAGTAAAATTATTTAATTAATCTCATAATTTTCCTGTTCTTAAGAGAAACTGATTTTTTTTCTCTGCAAGCCACAATAATCAAACTTACAGGAACACACACTAAAATTGACGAGTATGTGAATCCATACTTATTCAAATGAATTACATGAATAAATTAACTTTCCACCGGCATTTTATTTAATTACGATTCACCTGTATAAAAATACATTAGGATACAATTAACTTTCGACTGACCAAACACAATGTAGATGGCAAAACAAAAACAAAAAAAAATGAGAATGAAATCTTATTCTAACAGAGCACTGACAGCCATACAGTCAATTTCTTCAAAGAACGGGAGCGAACAGGAAACCACAACCTCAGCCGCGTTGTGTCCAGACATCAGCCACGTCCAAAACGCACCTCAAAAGATTTTAATCACTTTGTTGTTCTCCTCCTTTACAAAGAGCTGGAGAAGCACAACGATTGTGCTTCAGAGGCTCACAAGGGAAAACCGCAAAACATAAAAGCGTAAAAAAAAAAAAAAAAAAGAATTTTTTCAGGTATTTGATTTTGTTTTTTTGTTTTTTTGTTTCCTCTCAAAAGGAAAGTTTAACAGGTCAAAGAAACAAAAGAAACAACATCACAAACACACAAGCAAACACAGTAGACGTCTCATCTCCAGTTGAGTTTGTGTCTCTGATTTACTTCCCTTGTGTTGCTCCTGGCCGAGGCTTATCAAAGAGCTTCTTTCATAAGTGCCAAGATCAAGCCACTGCTGTGACTGCTTGGCACCCACTGAGATGGTTTGAAGATGGCTGGGCAGAGGTGGGGGTGGGAAGGTGGGGGCTTCAAGACATCGAAGCAGGCCAGAGGAACTCAAAATTGAGGGTAGCTATTGAAGGGAGGTGTGTGTTTGTGTGTTTGAAGAAAAATGGGTTCAGACGGTAAATATTCCCCCAGCTCGTCAGGAGAATCCTGTTGGCGTGTCGGCAGAAGGAACTGGCAGAACGAAGCACTCCTTTGGTCGAGCGAGGGATTGTTTTTGCCATATATGTGCTGCAAAAATTAATATGCATTTGCTCAAAGCCGTCTCTGCCTCAGCAATTTCTTGCTGACGAACAGCGTAAGGCGGCAGGTGAATGCAGACAGTGAAGGACACGACTCCGGAGAAAAAGTGCAACACGCTACCACACACAAACATAAAAACACCCCGAGGCTGTATATTCCTCGCCACTGCTGAAGCCGTGGTTCCATCAAGCCTGACATCTGGCCTGTTTACTGAAGCCTGGCACTGCATTGCAAATTTACAAAAATAATTGTGACTGGGCAGAGCAGAGCACATTGTCACAAAGGAAAGAGTCTGGTGTGCCTGTTTATATATGATAAGTTTTGACAGCAAAGTAGTTACAAAATGTTGTCACCTTTTTTTTTTTTTTTTTCCTGTGATGTCACATTTGTTAAATCCCCCATACGGCTTGAACTCTTTACGGCAATCAGCTGATTATGGCGGCATGCTCTCTGTGCAAGATTATGAAATATTTACCAGCTGATTACACAGACGGAAAACACTTAGAGGCAGGATAGAGACTATTAAAAGAAGTTGTTTTGAGGCAGCAGGAGAACAGGGCTTCAGTTTCAGTCTCTGTTTACTTGTTGTCTCGTTTCGCTTGTTTTTTGCTCGACTGAGCAGCCTAGCTCTAGGGCACACTCTTATTTAACTCCTCATCCTCCAGCCAGTAAAATAAAGTGAAGCAAGAAACTGCAGACTTGCTCTTTTGACCCCAACTGCTAAAAGACTGAATATTATATCCAAGATTCCTAATGAATGCGGTAATGTGATGTATTATGTGTGCGCGTGATTCATGTGTGCTCTGCCTCGGTCTGCCTCGCCCGCAGCGAGACGGTCGTGCCTTCACTCAGTCTTGACTCTTCTCCCCTCAGGCACCCAAATGATGGGATGACCTTTCCACCTCGGCCGGGGCTGGGATGTCACGCGCAGCATGAAATGAAAACTCATCACCTTGCTAAACTCTTCACATCACTCTTTGCTCTTCCTCCCCTCTTGCTCCTGCATCTGATTTGTATTCTGCTGCTCATGAAAGGTCAGACTTCTATATTCTTAGGATATGTTACATATACAGTATTTATTAGCCGTCCTTTTGGCTGTCATAGAAAGAAGTTCTACAGAAAGAAACACTTATTTCGGTTCATTTGTGTGTATTAGGTGGAGATTAAATTGCAATATTAAAGATGTATTTCATCAGTACATGCTGTAAATAAGATGAGACTGAGTGTATGTATTTATAGGGTTACTCTCTTCTCTCCCCCTGATTGTTTTCTGTCCTCGTCTGGTCCACAGGGACGCCCCAAGGTGATTTCTCTCATCCAGGCCATGAAGCTGAGAAGCTGTCAAAACCACAGTTTGAGTCTACAGAAGAGTCTCTGTGGCTCGGTTTTGCTCTCAGCATGTGATGACCGGTAAAATTGAAAAGAAAAAATATAAATAAAGAGTATTCAGTATGAACAAAGGTAGATCACGCATGTAGTTACCTTAGATAACTTCCCTAAGGTGTGACGACAGAGTTGACAAAACAATTCCTCCCGTTGCAACAATCAGACACTTTAATCGACTTAAACGTCCGTAACTCGCCCAGACTTACTGGTTATCAGAATCAAATGCTGACGTGAATGAAGCAATGAACTTCATCTCATCTGAATTATGAATTGGACATTTTCACTCAGCTTTAATAACTGCACTCTTAAAGAAAGAGGATGATTATTGTTTTAATTTGTAAGAGTGTTATGTGAAAAAGAACAATATGAAAAATGTAACAAAATACTTAACACTACAGAGAAAGAATAGTTTAACTGTTACTAATGAACAAACGAGATTATACACAACCCTTTTCACAAATAAAGAGAGATAAGAGATTCACAGAAAATACACAAAACGGACACAAATACAAAGCATCACCTAAAAAGGAACTAACAGAAAATAACATCATGCACCAGTGGTTTTGGTTTTGGTTTTGATCAGAAACTCTTTGTTCTGTTAGTGTCTTTATGGTGGAAGTATGCTGATTTAGTAATAAACTTTATTTGGTTGTTAAAATTCAGTTTTGCGTCCAAAATGGCGTGCAAAGATTTTTATTTTTATTTTATTGTTTTTCTTGCTTTGTGGGTCTTGCTAAATGTTGATTTCTAACTTCACATTTTCAGAATAGACACACTGAAGAACATGAAGTTTGGAAAGAAATATTTTCCAGTCTTCTCACTGCATAAACATTTTTGTCGACAAATAAAAAAGCTCTAGATATGAAGTAAAATCACAATAATTGCAGGAGAAGAGACAATTTCAGAAGAGACAATAATGATGAATTTCATCAATATCTCCATCCGTACAGCATTCCATATGACTCCACAAACTTCATTTGATGAAGATGGTGTTCTGCTTTTTTTATGCACCAACATTTAATTTGTTAGTTGAGAACAGACTTGTAGGCACCTGTCAAAGTCTTGACCTTTTATCAATACTCTTAACCAGATTTAGGTTTGCAATTGTGACACACCAGAATGAAACGAGCAGCTATTTGACACCAAAAAATAAAGAATCTAACCTGAAATTATTCTATTAAATTACAGATTCTGCTTTGCATTGCAGGGACTAGGTTTGCACTGTTTATACATGTTGATTTTTTATTGATTTGTGTCGTATTTAAACTCCTTGATAGCCCAGAAGACCAACATTTCAGACAACAAATTGGATAAACAGAAATATTACATTTCAAAGATTTGACATTTCTCAAAATATAGCTAGACTCTAAATTACCAGCTGTGTTTGTTTTGTTAAATTACATGTTTTCTGCTTCATGGCTTCGTTTCATTGTCTTAGTTTTAATTAAATTTTTGCATCCTCACAACGCTACTGTTCTGGAATGACTAAAACTTCATTTTTCTACACTATGCAAAAAATGATGAATGAATTGCCTTGTTGAGATATTAATAATAAAATCACTAAGTTATAAGGCAGTAATTGCATCTCTCTTTTTTTTTTTTTTTTGCTCCACTCCAATACCACTGCACAAGAACGCTAAAAGGTCAAGGCTATCCGGGTAACAGATGCATAATGAAACTACCCCATATTTCATTGTGAGCGTATTGAGTCTGCAGGAGTAAATCCAGAGCTATGTCTGCGTGTGTGTGTGTGTGTGTGTTGTGTGGAGGTGTGTGTGTGGGTGTGTGTGTGCTCGTGCATACACTGGTGCAATGTGCAGATGTTTTGCAGGTAGCAGCAATAAAGCTGCTGTTTAAGCATTCATCATTAACAAAAGGTACTAATGCAGCAAATCTAAACTGTATTTACATATTTATCTACTCTTAATTATATTAAGAGATATACTTTATGTAACTTAATATTCTAAACTCTTCCTTTGCATAAAATCTAATATATATATATATATTTGTTTTATGCATCAGGATGTCACAAGGAATCATTTACTTGTCTTACACACAAACCTCCCAAACTCCCACCCTCCTTCTCCATCCTGCTGTCTGTCTGTCCCACCCAACAGACTTTTGTCTCTTGGCGCAAGAGGTCCACTCCGTTATGCAGTGAAAATCTATGGATCCATATGAATTTGTCGGTTTAAATTACGTTCAACATTGAGCGTCTTTCTCATAAACTCTAAAGAAGTTTGTGTCCTTATGCTACAATGTCCTCTACCTCAGCTGTGCATCACATAAGCATCAGGGGGGAAAGAGAGGAATGCAAAACATAATTAATATTAAAATCATTATTATAGATCTGAGAGTAGGTTGGTACATCTTGAAGTTTCCCCTGCAACTAAACTCACACTTTCTCATAAACCTTTCAAAAAATAGCTGAACAAAGCCCCGTGTACATATTTTGCTATTCGAAGAGCTTTGGTTACAGTCTGTACAGATGTAGGTGTGTCCACCAGCTTTTCCGTCTCCCCTGCAGGAGTGGTTGCTGACCTAGACCTTGAACGTTGCTTCATTTCATGATTTTTTTTTTTTTTTTTTTTTTTTGATGTGGATGAGCATTTCTTCCAGTGAAATCTCACCAGATCCTAAAGTGAGTTGACCACCTGACATCACACCTGGACACACACACACCCACACAAAAAAAAAAAAAAAAAACATCCCTAATTTCTCCCATGAGACCACGGGAGAGCAGGGCAGTGAGAGACTGAGAGGTGGAGTGTAAAGGGGAGCAACCCAAAATGCAGAGGTACCCTCCCTCTGTACGGCATGGCAGTTAATTTAAATTCTGCAAGGAGACAACCCATAAATCACCTCCATTCTGACTAATGGCTTCTGCACTGGGGGAAAACTCTTGCCTTTCCACCTGGAGACTTTGTGCACTGCAAAAAAGCAAAAAGAAAAAAAATCCAGGCTGCGTTGAGTTTGTGTGCATGGTGTATGTATGCGGGTGCACATTGCGAGTGTGTGTGTATAGATATATATATATATACAGAATATATGAGTGCTTCACTCAGACAGACAGGTTCTGAAAGAGTCAGCACCACAACTAACCTCTCTGCACACGAGCAGCTTTCACTGGAGGCAGAAATCCCCCCGTGTTCGTCCATAATTAGCCTCCATAACTGCAACTGTCTGACGTCAGAGATTGTGACTTAAAACTCACCTTGGACTGGATTCCAAATAAAAAAAAATGAAAAAGAAAAATAAATCCTATGTTGGTGCAGAAACACGCTGCTTACTCACATTTCTCAGTGAGTCATGAGGCATAAAAGCTTTTCTATGTTTACTTTGTCACATTTTTTATTATCACACCACTTGAGTTTTTGCCTAATTGTTTCACAACAAATACGTTTTAGCTGCAGGTGTGTGCTTCAAACTCTTCTGATTGTTGAGTTGAGAAGCACTCTGTTAATTTGGAGCAGAACTCAAACAGGATAACTACTTGAAATAAAGAAGGCAATTTTATTTATTTGTATTGTTGTGCTATCATCACCAAGTACTTTTATGTGACTAAAGTAAATAAAGCACGATGCACAATAATTTTGTGACTGAATAGTTTAGTTGATTGCATTTTTCCTTCCTGTATTATTTTACTTTGCTTTCCAGTGAACATTACCAGGTGAAACAATTTGCAGAACCTGTTGTACATGTGTTTTTATTTTTTGTAAGATATTGCATTGGCTTGATTTTAACTGCACAACTCTAATTAAATGGATAAACCAATATGCATATTGAGCCTATAACAAAACAGGATGTTAACTGTTTGTAACTTTGACCCTCTGTTAAGTTGCTGTCTTATTGTTTCTTATTTTGCTGTTAGCTGCCATGACTGGTCACTCCTGGGATGGTTGGCCATTACTCCAAGTTTTCTCTATTTGCTGATGATGACTTTCACTACGGTTTGGTGACTCTGCATGTCGCTCTACAGTTTCAGCGCTGGGAATGCTCTGGTCAGGGCTACACCACAGACTGTGGACAGTGTGTGACTTTGTAATCTAGTCACTTGCCTGAATCAGTAATCTAGCTCATTCCTGACAGCAGCTGACCTTTGCTCTGTGCTGACAGACAGAACCCCAAGGCCCTGTTGCTTCTTTGTTGTCCACTCATCACTTATCACCACACATGTCAGGCATTCAGTTATATGTATACAGTCAGTTTACATTCAGAAATCCACTGCTTAGATGGAAATTGATTAAATAATCTGCCTCACCTTGTAGGAATTAAAGCAACACTTTCCAGATGAACTGAGGCTATATTTTGCAGTAAGCTTGTATAACTGACTTCAGTCAGATCTGTTTCTTCTTAGTTCCCTGCAACAGATATTACCTCAGGCTATAATTTGGTCTTTGTAGCGCTCTTGTAGTTCTTGTCTACGTTTCAATTCTCTCCAGTATACTTTACTTCCCTCACATTTTCCCTCAATCTATCTACCTTGTTTTTCTTTTTAACCCTCTCTCCTGGACTGCGACTCGCACAGGCAGGCAGGCAGGTTTCCTGCTGGAAAGAGCTTTGAGCGGAGATTTAAAACTGTGAGGTTTGACACAGATCACCAAGCTGTGGGGGAGAGTTCCAGTTATCTGCACCAGAAAAGTCCCCACCTTCCCTGATGCTTTGGTGTCCAGCTGTGCAAGGAGGGTGGGGGGGGAATGTGGTGCAAGTAAAGCCTAAAACACCATATGCACAAACACCCTCTATTTGCTACATTGAGAAAAAAAATAAAAATAAAAGAAAAACTGAAGATGTCCCAGCAAAGAAATACCAATGCATTATAAATGAAGTTATGGAGAAGTGTACAGACATTTCCTTCAACACTATAGCAGAAAAAATGTCATATTCTCCGGTTTGCAGACTCTTCTGGTTTTTCAAAAATGTATAATTTTATAGTTCTTCATAACAGCATACCCTTCAATATAAAGGAAGAAACTTCTGGCAATTCAAAGTTGTACATAATTTATGTGTTTATGGTATGTTTAGCTATTCATTCATAGACTTATAGTTTAGTTTACTAACCATGCATTTACACCAAATCTTCTGGTTGTCCACAGTCAAGACATGTCAAATTTTACATGACTTTGACTCAAATATTTCAGCAGCTATCCAGTAGCATTTCAGAATCTTATGCTATGCAGGTGATCTCTCCAGTGAGGAAGATTCACTCACCCCAACCTGCTGAATTCTTGAAACTGAAAGAAATTACGGAACTAGACCTTCTTTTTTATGTACTCTGCTAATTATGTCAAGGCATTTTGAGAATTTCCAGAGCACAAACGTATAAGATGTTAACATACAGCATATTCAAGCAGCATACCTCATCTTTATCCAGCAGAATGCCATGAATTCCACACCCTTGACCCTAAGGCCTCACCGAGCTGTTCTTCAGTGAAAACATAACAGTTTTGTTGCAATCCGACCGCTCATTTACACACCTCCAGTGGTTGGAGTCTCTTTTGAAACCAGTTCTAATAGTGGAATTTTTTGGGAACACCTTCCACGTAGAAGTCAAGTGCTACTCATGCATGGACCGAAACAACAACAGTAATGGCAGATAGCATTGTGCTGTGTGTCCTTATTGGCCTTTTCAGTTTATCAGCATCTGTAAGATATACTACATTAGTCCTTGGTTCATTGGAGGTGGGGTTTTTTTTTAAATTAGGTGGAAGCTAAGTGTCAATAACGCACATGCCTTTCAAAGAACGACTAAAATCACAGTGCCACATAGTGGCCTGGCATGACACTTGCAGTGGATTCAAGGTATTTTGGCGGTCTCATTTAACATAAATTCTTTCCCCCGATCATCATCATCTGGAAATGCTGTCAGTTTCCAGGCAGCATAAAAAAAGCCTAAGTATTCACACACTATTCAGAACAGCAGGGCATTAAAGCAACACACATGCTTGTTATTTTTATTTTATCCACCTGTTTCTGGTCTCTAGTTTGCATTTGGGGCTTTCCCACCATCATCTCAAACAGCTTTGTGAGGGTCAGCAAGAGAAGTCACAATTCAAGGTCATTCTTTAATCATTGCCCCCAGATTGTTCTCATCATAAACTCTCTCTTTTTTTTTCGTACAGCTTTTTGCCTCTTGTGAGAATTCCCTCTTTTCTCTGAAGCCACAGTCTTGTAGTCCAATATCATTAGCCCCCATGAATGGGAGGCTCTCTGTGTGAATCCATTTAGAAGCCTTTTCTGCAGCTCCCTTTCTGTAATCTCTCTAACCCTGTGGGATTAATCACCTATAGAGAACAGAAATCGATCCATTTAATCACTAAAAGATGTGACAAAAACGCTGTAACTCTGGGGTATGGTGGGAAATTATTGGCCAACTCAAATTCATTGGACAGAGAGGAGCAAAAGACCTGGAAAAAAAACTGTTCTATAAAGCGCTTTAATAAGGCAATCATTCCATTTATTTGTGCCATGTATTCACAGATGGAATGGTTTCTTTTTATTTTTTATTTGTTTGGGAAACTACCCCCTAAAGGAAAGCATTT